TAGATTTAACTTCACTGAGCACGCTAGTAGCTTTTCATAACTAAGGCAATTAAGATCAAGAAAATAAAGTAAATGAGTTCAAAGCAAACCGAAACGCCATGAATGCAGATGTCACGAAAGAATGTAATAGACGTTATAACCAGTTATAATCGAAAACAGAGTGAGATCCAATCTAAATTTCAAATTGTCAATTTATGTCTCATCATGGGCATCAAATTTTGCCAGTTTACAGAAAATTACAGTTTTGTTTGTGCTTGAAGTTATGAAAATTCCTCTGGTTAGAAAGGGTTTATCTTGTACTTACAGATTGATAATCATTCATTATGTGTTTCAATTGATTGGTATTTATAGATTGATAAGCATTCATTATGTATTTCAATTGTTATGTATTTCATTCGGTTGGTATTTAACACACATTTAACACTTCAAAAAAAAGTAGACACCATTGTTTGAGATAAATATTTATCGAGTCTACTCAACTCAAGATAAACGCTTTGAGGAAGAAAATCAAATGTATAGCCATCTCAGAAGATTAGCTTGACTTTTGAAATGTAATGACTCAATCATTGAATGGAAGTCATGTTAACAGCAAAGTCATTAAAGATTTTGAAAAGTCGGTGGACAAAATTGTGTCATTGCTTTAAATCACTGGAGTACATCAATTTATAGTCGTTAACGTCAAACTATATTTGGAGTAAAAGTTACAGTTTCACTGAACATCTATATTCCGTTTCATTTTTATCATGTATACATTTAGCAGCAATTGGAGAATTTTTATTTCCTTAAAACAAAATTCTAATAAATGGACACCAATTTCAGGAAAAATCGTGATTACCATTTCATTATATTGCCTTCATTTCTGTGCGTTGTCCTAAGGGCATCTGTTCCATTAATGTTAGGAGTATAAGTGACATAACAATACAAACATCATATCAACGTGTCGTAATGATGTAAGAATCACAACAATATAAGTGTCTTGGAGCTTCATAACAATCTAAGTGTCATAATAATATTTTAGCAGTCGGTTTCATAACAATGTTAAGTGTCATAACAATGTAAGTGTAATAACGATGTAGGTTTCATTACAATGGTTTAACTACGTAAGGTTCATAACAATGTAGGTGTCACGGCAATGTGTCGTAAAAATGCAAATGTCATAGCAATGGTAATATCATAACAATGTACGTCTCACCATAATGTAAGTGTCATAACAATGTAAGTGTCGTATAAAAATACTATAGTCGTAACAATGTAATTGTCATAGCAATGTAAATATAGTAATATACGTTTCATAACAATGTATTCGTAACAGAATCACATTAGTCTTATTGTTTCAGAACATTTTCGATTCCCTTTTGTAAACATCATAAAAACTGACACCATTTGGAGGATAAGTTATTATTGTGTTGCTGATTAAGCCTCAATGACCCAGATAAATCAGCGTCTGAAAAGTGCAGACGACCCCTGATACAACAAAGGAATTTGAACCTAGTCGAAATAAATACCAGTTATTGATAATACTTGGTTTTCCATTGCAAACACTTCAGCACATTGACCGGTTGATATTAGCATTGTTGAGCAATATATGCAGTACTTCTATTATATATATATATATATATATATATATATATATATATATATATATATATATATATATATATATATATATATATATATATATATATATATATATTAGGCTTTCATTTTCATATTGAACAAATGTAAATAATAGGCCTTATTTTCATATTCAATATATACAAAAATTAGGCCTCCACATATATAAATATCAGGCCTTCATTTTCATATTCGGTATGTACACATTTTAGGCCTTTATTTCTTTATATATATATATATATATATATATATATATATATATATATATATTAATTCTTCATTTATTATTTAAGAAGTATAAATATTAAGCTGTCATTTTCTTATGCAGCGTGTATAAATATTAGGCCTTCATTTTCTTATTCAGCATGTATAAATATCAGACCTTTATTTTTTTATTCAGCAATGTGAAACTATATATGAACCAACTGTGACAAAATTTTGGTAGCTTCAGCTGATTGACAAACTGACTAATATTTATGGAAATTATATTGACGTTCTCGTTGAAGCTTTACATTCAATTTGTAATATTTATGAGAACATTATATTCAGTGTGTACTGGAGCATTTTTTATTTGTGTATTGCCAGCTCACATTGGTGGGATTAGAGAATATAAGCACTTAAAGATAAAAAAAATTTAAAAGCTATAAAAGCATCAATATTTTCGCTTATTTCAAAGATCATTAAGAACCACTGAACAACTCATATTTTGATTATTTTTCATATTGTATTCCTAAACTAGATCACAAATAACCAAATCTTTTAAAGTGATGTATAAGTAAAATGTGGATGGTTTGGGGGGGGTAAATCCCTTTCAAAAGGCACGGGCTCAGATAACAACGTAAGTGTTCTAAAAATCATTACACTTTGCTGAACCAGCTAGGCTACGTAGTGAAAACTCTGCATGATATTATTGTATTGCATGATGATAGAATATCAACACTGCTCCAGGCATTCGTACATTAA